GATTGTTACTAATTAGACAGATATACTCCTAGACAAGCTTATACATCGATACAATAGGCAAATAGTGGAGACAATGTTTACGTGATTTGTTTTTTTTTTTGTACATACATATCATTGAAATCGCAATTTTTCTATTAGTATTTTAAAATAAACTCACGTACACTACACATCATACGAATGTCATCTTCATTCGTGTTTATCGTGGCGCTAGTGTTGATTCATTTTAAGAGGTTAATAAAGACTTCTTATTTCACGAATCTTATTTTTATAATATTCTAATATAGATTTGAAGATGTCATTTGAATTATATAAAATAAAATTTTATATATTAATACTGTGCATATAAAGCGTACAAAATGCAATCGATTTTTACATTTGTAATAATAATCTTTTCCATCTCAACAATTTCATGTTACCAGAGATCATATCCAAAGGTTCGTAAATTTTGCTTTTTTAATATTTATTGCGTTTCTTTTCTAATAATTACAAATTATATTTGTAGAACTTAAGTAATTCTAAAGAAACGGGACATTCAAATAATTGGGCAGTCCTAGTTGATACATCCCGATTTTGGTTCAACTATAGACATGTTGCAAATGTTTTATCTATATATAGAAGTGTTAAACGTTTAGGAATACCTGACTCCCAAATTATTCTTATGATTGCCGATGATATGGCATGTAACCCTAGAAATCCTAGACCTGCCACTGTCTTTAATAATGTCAAACAACACATTAATGTTTATGGAGATGATGTGGAAGTTGATTATAGAGGTTATGAGGTTACTGTAGAAAATTTTGTAAGATTATTAACTGGTCGATTGGCACCAGAAACTCCAAGATCGAAAAAGTTACTTACCGATGAAAGATCTAATATATTAATTTATTTGACTGGCCATGGGGGTAATGGATTTTTAAAGTTTCAAGATTCCGAAGAAATAACTAGTCGAGAGCTTGGAGATGCTTTAGAACAAATGTGGCAAAAGAGAAGATATCATGAAATATTATTTATTGTAGATACATGCCAAGCAAGCTCTATGTATGAAAAATTTTATTCTCCAAATATATTAGCAATAACTTCCAGTTTGGTAGGAGAAGATTCTTTGTCTGTAAGTTTTTCAATATACTAAACAATTTTATATATTTTAGTGAACTAATTGATTATTTTATTATATATTGTTATTAGCATCATGTGGATCCTGCTATAGGTGTATATGTTATAGACAGATTTACATATTATGCTCTGGACTTTTTAGAGAAAGTAGAGCCTACCAGTAGTAGAACATTAGGAGAATTTGTAAGTATTGTATTGTATAAATTATAAACTTAAATTTAATAATTTTAATATTATTTAAATGTATGTTTATTTTTGCTACAGCTTAAAATATGTCCAAAACATTATTGTCTATCTACAGTTGGTGTAAGAAAAGATTTATTTAAACGAGATCCCGATAAAGTTCCTATCACAGACTTCTTTGGTTCAGTAAGACCAATAGAGATCACAACAAACGTAATAAATATCCTCCCTATAAAATCAAATAAAACAAGTTTGATAGAATCAGAAGAGAGATATAATTATGTTTCTCAGTTTCCAGATATAACGCAATATACGTAAGCTGTTTAAGTATTTGTATTTGTATCATCATTACTTTTATTAAACATAGACTTTATAAATTATAAGAATTATTTTCACCATGCCCAAATATTATTAAATATTTGTTATAATTATTATTAATATTATCAATATAGGGTGTAAAGAAATTAAAGATTATTTAAATATTAATAATTTTTATTATAAGATAAAAGAATTTACTGCAGTCACATAAAAAAGTGATTCCTGCAAATATCATTTTAATTTGATCTACGGTCATCAACATCGAACTGCATTTCGGTAGTTGCAGCTTGATATAGTTGGGTCAAAAACAGTCCCTTCAGGACACTGGAATTTAGAAACTACATAGTGACCATTAACACGAAGACAATAATAGAATTTACTACAATCATTAGGATCACGGACATATCCTTCGCGTTGACAAATATCCTTACTTGGTGGGTTGGTAGGCTTAGTTATGTCGGTTGGTGTAGTTGTTTTTGTTGGTGTAATTGATGTAGTTGTTTTTGTTGGTGTAATTGATGTAGTTGTTTTTGTTGGTGTAGTTGGTGTGGATGTTAAAGGTGGACCATTTCGCAAAACATTATTCAAAATTTTCAAAAGAGGATATTTTTCTCCGCATGCACCATGGAAGTCATCAGTTTCAATACTCCATAACATAGCACCACCAAGACCATTAGCCTTAGCATATTCAGCCTTTTCCTTCAAAGATCTAGATAATAATACATTCATTAATTATAAAAGTTTAAGGTAATACCATAACACAACTAATGTATATATATATATAGTATAAATATACTTACTGAACGTCATCATACCCTACCCATTGATTATCCTTATATGCATAAGGTGCGCGCTGTTCTTTGTCGTAAACAATGTTCCATTTACCATTTTTTAGTTCTGTGCAAATTTCATTATATCCTAACATTCCAGGTTCATTAGTGTATGGTCCCGCGATTCCTGCTCCAGTACTTGGTGATCCGACATCATGTTGTTGAGGATTTTTAAGAGTAAAAGATCTACCATAGAAAGGTACCCCAAGAATCAATTTTTCAGGAGGAGCACCTTGTGATAACCAGTATTTTACAGATGCGTCCTAAAATTAATGAATTACTGTTAATATCGGAACAATTAGAAGAGAGATTAATAAATAATTGATCTCGCTTATAGACATTTGAATATTATTACATGCAAATAAGTAATTTACTTACAACAGTGAATTGAGCGTTATTAGCAGACGCACCCTTTTTTGCATAGAGAGGAGAATTGATTCCAGTGGTAGATTCCCAAGAACCGTGAAGATCGTAAGTCATAAGATTGATAAAGTTCAAGTATTTGCACATCTCAGATATTATATAAGATTGACGAGCGGAAGTTGCAGCAGCACCGACAGCCGCACTAAGAATGTATCCATGTTGGTCAAATTTCTCTCGAAGTTCTTTCAAAAGGCTAATATAATTTTGTTTATCTGCAGGCTTGCCACCACGTTGATTTGGGTATTCCCAATCAACATCAAAACCGTCAAAGCCATACTTCTTTAAGAATTGGACCACCGAGTTAACAAACTTAGCGCGAAGGGTAGGATTGGCAACAACGTTAGAGTATTTGACAGAACCCTCATTCCATCCACCGATAGCGATCATAGTTTTTATATTAGTGTTGTTCTTACGGAGATTGTTGAATCTACCGAAACCATTCTTTCCGTAATCATCTGGAAGATCTTGCCAAGGGTCCAGAATCCTAACGTTACCATCCGAATTGAGTCCAATGAATGTGTAAATTATATGAGTGCAGAGATTTGGATCGATGTCATCAATGTCGAATTTGCCTGCATCTTGTCGATAGACTGCCCAGCTACCGAAGTAACAGACGATCTTTTCTGTCACAAAATCAATACTTCAATGAGTAAAAATATAAGAAATATATTTTTAAAAATAATGAAAAAAAAAATGAGAATACATAAAAGATATGTCTCATATAGCGTACATTTTTGGTTTTATATAATGTAAGTATTGTCGAAAAATGTACACATAGATATATCTATACGTAAATATATATATATATATATATATATATATATATATATAGACAAAAACACACACATGCATATACATATATATATATATATATATATATATATATATATATACATATATACACACACATATATATACTTACTGTCTGCTTTTACAGTCGCGGCAAAAGCCACGAAGGCTGCCAAAAATACGATCCAAGCGTTCATCTGTATATAGACAAAATTCTTATAATGACAAAATGAAAAGAGCAATATCGGAATTTGCAGTTAATCAATCTCTTTCTGATACGGTAATGTCATCAGAGGATTTAGAAATCATATCACTTTAGATTGAGTCATGAGAAGACCTTTACATTAGTTATCGGAAATCTATCTATACACTTATCTGAAGATCATAAAAAATTGTGTTAAAATCATGTCCTATCAACATAGATATTGATAAAGAGAAAGTCTTAAAAATAAATAATTTTTAAATAAAAAAAAAAAAAAAATAATAATAAAATAATACATAACTCAATTATTTACTTCGAAATATATTCTCTTACCTTGTCAAAAAGCCACGCTAAATCTTGATAAATAAATGGTAAATCTTAAATTTTCGTATTTATAGCTGGTGGTAATAGTAAAACAACATGCACCAATCTTTACATAGATCACATAGATCACATAAATTTAAATTTTAATTAATTACTTCTACTAGAGTAGATTGTTTAGATTGATATTATATCTCTGTATCGAATTTATCATATCATATGTATCGAGTTTATTGACGCCATTCATCACATATATGTATATGTATATATATATATATATGATTTAAGAAAAGGCTTTTCATGTATTTACTTTCCGATAATTTAAAAAATATTTGATTTGATTAATGATAAAAATTTTCGAAACACTTGTGAGATATAATGTATAGATGAATGTATTGTAGAAAGAATTGATTTGCTTAAAATAGATAAAATTTGTTTGGTATTTGTAAGTTAAAGTACGATAATCATCACTTATGTACATATTTTTTTCTTTCATAATCTTTCATTGTAAAAAATTATTTTATTGTAGATTTTGTATCTATTATTTATCCGATTAAGGAAAGATTAGAAATTAATGATCGGGAATTCTTATATATTCCGTCATTACTTAAATAATAATTAAAAATGAATTTGTTTTAACATTACAAGAAAAAAAAAAGAATAATAACATACCTGTGATCGAATTGATTATCTTACAGATAATATGATATGCTTTTCTATATGATGATAGTTCTCCGTTACCTTCGATCGTTAAAATAGTATAAAAGCGAATGGACACAACACCTATATATGCAAATCTTAACAAAAACTTTATAATCTTAATCTAAAAAATGGATTAACGAATTATCATTATCATAATCTATTGTTATTTTTATACATGATATCAGACAACACCCAACAATTATCATCCGCGATATGCACATTTTATGCGGCATATTGTTAATTGGACATATCTGAATTTATATTGCTTATTTGCCAAAGACAATTTTTTTTCCTTTGATAATTATGATAAATCGTAGAAATTCGCAATTTCTTCCTATAATCTATATTTACATACATTATTCATTGCAAACATATTATGTTCTTGCGAATTACTAATAGCAGTATTATTTTTATTATAAGCCATATCATTTTTCGAAAACTTATTCATAAAAATAATCGAAAGATAATAAATTCTAATTAAAGTTTTGTTGATTTCTGAGAAAGTGAGATAAGCTTTGATTAAAATATAGGAAGAAAAAGAGTATAAAGAAAAATAATTAAAATACATAAAATACATAAAATAGTTAAATCAGCTAAATAAATCAATAAGTTAATATCGATTAAAAATTTTTTACCTTATTTTATTGGTTCTTAATAAAAGCTCACTATTTACATAATTAAATATATTACATATTTCTTTTTATGAAAATGCCATTATATATACATATATATAAATACATAATAAGGACACTTCATATATTGGAATTATTTGAATTTTTTCTGTAGATTTTTATTTTTCATTCCAAGCTTTCTTAATTTTCGCCAATATTGTTTTGTATCTGGATCCATTTCATCTAAGCTCTTAGGTATTAGTGGAATAGTCCAAAGCCAATCAGGATATTCGGAGTCAGGTTTCAATTTAATATCCTCTCCTTCTTTAAAATAATTGGATCCGCAGACATAAGTTATTAATTTATTAGTGTCCTTTTCGACTGGAAATTGTATCTTATGTGAAACTACACCTTTCTTTCCAGTTACACCTTTCCCGGTTAGTGCCTTTGAACCTAACGACAAAGATAAAAGAATAGTCATATTATTTCAATGTTTATCTTAATGTTTATATTTTTCAAATTTCTTTCCAATAAAAAGCCACATAATGTGCAATAATAATATTAATAAAAAATAAAAACTTAATCAGTTATTCGTTCTAACAATATTAGTACTATTCATACTTATCGTCTAACCTATATTAAGAAAATGTAAGATTTTTTTGTGGTTTGCATGTTTTTATACATAAAAAAAAAAAAAAAATTTACCTGGTGCAGCATAATTATTCGTTTGTATTTTATAACATGTAGAAATTATATGTTTCGGAGATATTCGACACAATAAATTCATATTTGTTTCGCTTCTTATACTACGCGAATTTGTTGCGTCACTTGATAATAGACCAATGATCCCACATAGCGTATATGTATATATATATATATATATATATATATATGTGTGTATATATACACACACACACACACATATATATATATACTTTACAACGATATAAAAAATTAATAATAAAATAATTGATAAATATTTTTCATAGAATATTAAAAAAAAATGCTTCCTTTTGTTGCAGAATTTAAATGCTACAACCATGAAAATATTTTATGAACGAAATATTTAATTAATAATATCTCTTAAAAGTTATCGCACTGAATTACGCAATAAACAATATAAAATAAGCAATAAAAAATATAAATTTACAAAGAAAATACATATGAGAATTTAAAACAATAATATCATTAAGTAAGTAATAGTATCATTAAGTAAATAAACATTATATGATAATATAAATATTTGGGAAGAAAAAAAAAATATTCTCTCTCGATTCTAATAGATACAAATCATTTATTTTATATAGATTACTTCTTCTTTTTTCTTCTTTTTTTTTTTTTTTTTTTTTTTTTTTTTTTTTTTTTTTTTTTTTATACAATCACGAGAAAATAATTCAAATCATATTATTGCAGGTAACAATCGAATAATGCTCTACGGCGCAATAACAAACACGATCTTGACTTCAAACATCAAACACGGTGGCGTAGCATTACAAATATGTCGATATTTATTAAATGATAGGAATAAACTTGTGTATATACTCTGTAACTATTAAAATAATTTTTTTATGTTTTGGTTATGTGATGCCAGTAAGCAATAAGATAGAAGCGCGGGTATATACGTTTTGATAATATATTATCAACCTTTAAAAAAAGATACTTTTGATTTAATATAATAATAAATATCTTTTATTCCATGTAGGTAAAAACTGTAAATTTTAATATAAGAGGAAGATCGGCCAACCAAACGGAATTTCAAGATGATAATAAATTTTTAACAATAGCACCAGCACTACCAGTTTTACCTGGAACACTTACACCGCTTAAATTATCAAAACGTTCCTATCAATCCTTTAGGTATTGAAATTTTTTATAAAATAACTATTATATAAAACAAAGAAGTATTTAAATTTTTTATGATTATTCAGTTCTATAGGATCATCTTTTAATTTTGAATCCTCCGAAGTTGAAAGTTGTAATGTAGTTACGTTACAATGGACAGGAGAAGGGAGAACAGTCACTGCAATACGAGCACCTGCAGAAAAAGAAAAAAATCCTGATAGAATATCTCTTGATAGAAGAGGTTTGACTGTGTTCCCTAATATAATAGGAGAATCAAAGCTACGCTTAATTTCTTTACAACACAATCTTCTTACAAAGATTGAAGGATCACATTTTGCTCAATTAACAAAATTAGTATTTCTTGATTTATATGATAATCAAATAGAAAAGATCTGTAACTTAGAATGTTTAGAAAACTTAAGACTCCTTTTAATGGGTAAAAATAGAATTAAAAAAATTGAAGGATTGATGCAACTTTGCAAACTTGAAATTTTAGATCTACATGGTAATCAGATAGTGCAAATAGCAGGTTTGAATGGCCTTTCGTCTTTGAAAGTACTTAATTTAGCTGGAAATATTATTAAAACAATAGGATGCAATGATTTCAATGGTTTGACATCCTTGAAAGAATTAAATTTGAGACGTAATAAAATAAAAAAGCTTTTAGGGTTTGAAGATATACCACAACTGCAGAAATTATATTTAAGTAACAATGATATATACAAGTAAATATCACAATTTTTCTCATCATTATATTTAAAGTATTTTTATCGACGATTTATTTTGGTAATCAATTTTTTCAGAATAGAAGACATGGGAAGTGTAGTAAAAGCATTCCAAATTAAAGAGATTTCAATTGACGGAAATCCGATAACTTTAAATAGTGATTATATATCTTTTCTTGTATCTTACTTACCAAATCTTCAAATATTATCATCAATGCAGATTACTGAACAAATTCGTAGAACTGCTATTGCTTGGAGAACTGCAAAGGAACAAGCAAATTCAGCTTTCTTGGATCTTAGTACACAAGTATGTATGAATGTGCAACGAGAAGAGGTAATTTCTAATGCAAAAACGAAGTGGGAGTTTTTAAGATCAAAAAGCAAGTCTTCTGCTACCAATGACAATAAGATGAATAATTGCAAAGTTAATAATAGCAATAGTACACATATACTTAATTCAAGCAAACTTAATATTACTAGACCAAAAAGCTTAAATAAAGGAAGGTTGAAAGGATTTGGAAGTTTAACATCTATAAATGAAAACGTAGAAGCAACAAAAATCCAAATAAAGAAAAGAAGTAACTCTACTGATAATCTACTTAAACTAGAAGATGCTGCTAAAGCATATCCATTAGAATTTAAACTTCCACCTATTTTAAGTTCTATAATTGATAATTTAATGAATAATAAATTTAATGAAAATTTGTTGAACCTTGGAAATAGTTTAGGAACATTGAATGACGTGACAATTGGTGCCAATAGTGAATCTGAAAGTTCAGAAAGTCATGAAAGCTTAAAAAGTGGTTTACGTTGCCATTTAATACATTCAAGTAGACATACATCCCCTGTTGATTCTGAAAAACGTTCTAAACATAATAAATTTACAAAAGATGATGATTTATCTTCTACATCAAAAACATTTACAAATATGAAAAATCATGTTACCGAATCATCAGTTTTCAAGAATCACAAAACTACTATACAATTTAACGATTATAATGTGACATCTAATATCAAAGAAAATTTATCCACAAAATTGTTTCATGAAGATAAAATATCCAAACAAAATATTCCAAACGATTGTGAATCAATTCAATCTAAATCAAATATTAATCCTGTTGAATATTATTCAGTAAGAGATTTGGAGAAAAATAGGCACAGAGTAAAAAGTGCACAAGTAAAAAAAATAGTTCATTATAAAAGTAACAGAGCAGCTACTGCTAGAGTGAAATATAGAGCTATAGCATCTCCAAGTCCAATGCCACAGCAAATTTTACCAAGAGAAAGAGAACAAGGTAATTAATTAATAATATTGATGTATATTTATTAATATAAATTATTTTTTAGTAGTATATATTTTAGATCATATAATTTAATTCTAGGTAGTGATTATTTAATTGAAATCATTGGTCGTTGTCTAAATGTTTTTGGACAAGGGGCATTACGCTTTATTGATCGTTCATGGGATACTTTAAAAGCAGAAGATGTTAATGTAGTTAAATTCAATTACATTCAGTTTAATAACATAGCTTTGATTTTAAGTAAATTGAAAAATCGATTTCCAAATGTAGAACATTTTTTATTCAAAGAAACCAATATCAGTCATCTAGGACAAATTAACGCTTTAGCCGAAGTCCAAGGTCTTGAAAGTGTGCGTATAGAGGCAGAAGGAAATCCAATAATATCAAAAAATTGGAGATCTTATACTATATTTCGGTTAGCACATTGGGGACTTCATACTATCAATGGCAATGAGGTATTTTAGCATTCGAACAAATTACATTTTGCATTATTAAAATAATAAAATATTTAAAAAACAATATACCTATAGATTACTAAAGAAGAAATAGAACATGCAGATCAAGAATATGCTGGATTGGTAGATATTGTAATACGATCACTGCCAGATTCTTTACTGCAACCATTATTACAAAGACTACA